ATTTTCTTGGACTCGCCTTTCCCTTTTTTAGAAATGTTTTTTAAATTGATGTTTTATGTATTTATATATATTTATGTTTTTAATGTTCGGTGTGAGTTGCCCAGAGTTCCCTCATTGGGGGGGATGGGCAGGTGAGAAATTTAAGAAATAAAATAAAAATAAATAAATATGTGCTGGTTGCCAAGCATCTGGATTTTAATCACGTGACCATAGGGATGCTGTGACGGTCGTAAGTGTGAGGACCGATCGTAAATCATTTTTTTCAGTGCTGTTGTACCCTCGAATGGTCATTAAACGAATGGTCATAAATCAAGGACTACTTGTGTCTGTACTTGACCTTTATACATTCTGGCTAATAAGAATAGTCAGAGCGGGATTGTCTGTCTGAATAGTGGGGATGATACAAATCCTCCTGCAGAAAATGCAATTATACAAATTTGAAAGGGGCTTCACACACACACACACAAACACACACACCTACTTTCCTTAATCCTATCTAACAGGAAAACATTGAACTAGTTTCTAATATGCCATTCTTGGGCAAGTTGCTAAAGGAAGCTTTGCATATCCAACTTTTTTGTAGATGAAAGAGATGGCTTCAGACTCAATTTTGGGATCTAGACAACTTTGGTGGATGAACAGGTAGAATGTATCACTATCCACTTGTGGACTTCTCTGGCTTTCCATACGGTTGACTGACTTTCAAGAATAGACATGGGATATGATGTTATGGTGGCTTCTTCCTAGAGGGTTGACTTTACAAGATGATATTTCCCATCGAATATTTCATCAACATCTTGATCACTGGCATTCCTCAGAGTTACTCCCTCCCTCCCTCCCTCCCTCCCTCCCCCTGTATGCTGCCCGACTTCCAGTGGGACTCTGGGTAGCTCACATGTTCCTATTCTATTTAGCGTCTACATGAGAATGCTTCCATGTGAGATAAAACCTGATTGTGGAGGGATTCACCTCATGTGGAAGTCTTCATACATAGATGCAAATTTGTCTCCCAGTTTCAGATAATTACATTGTTTTCATGAAGTTAGGCTTTTTCAGTAACATCCCTTACCTCTTGAAAATACAGAAACATAGTTTGGGGTGGCCAGCAATGCCTTAACAATATTTATAATTCAGGCACTTCTGACATTAACTATACTCCTGTTGCATTAATTATATTCACTTTTGGAAAATACACATTTGTAAAGCCCAGTTACATCAAGTCTGGATTAGGGTAATACACTTTACATGAAGTTGCCTCTGAAAAATATATGGACGCTACAAATGTCCTAGTTTGCAACAGCCCATTAACAATGGAGGTAGCATACAACTCCCTTGGTGAAACAGTTACACTGGGACCAAGTTGTTTCTGGGCTCAGCTCAAAAAGCTCGTGGTGATGACATTTAAAAAAGTGAATGGGTTTCAGCGCAAACACCTGAAGGAGTCTCTTTCTCCCATACAGGACTGCAAAATGATTGAGATAATCTTTAGAGGCCCTCTTGGACATTCCAACAATCTCTGAGATACTGGAAATTGAGATTAAAAGGAAAATCCTTGAGTATCTTGGGACTTAATTGAAGTGAGGCCCTGTCTCAATCATTTTGTCATTAATTTTAATCTAGTTTTGGGAGGCATGCTTGTTATTTTAAGATGCTTTTCAAATAGTCTAGTTTTTTTTTCCAGGGGAGGCAGGATGGGGGGATATTTTGGTTGCCATTATATCACTGTTTTCTGCTGCTATTTCAGATCTGAATATTTAGTATTAGGTTGTAAACTGGCAAGTATATCTACATATTTTAATAGCACTGAACTCTGCAAATATAAGACAGGATAAGAATGTTTAAAAATACAGTAATAGCGCAATGGACAATAATACAGTAATAACATAAAATAAATCCCTGCCCAGGAGGACACAACATTTATTTCTTTACAAGGAAGTCGGATTTCCCAATTTAAAGTGATGCCAGAGGCATAAAGAGATTAAGAAAGTATTAACCAAGTGCGGAAGGAATTAACACAGCTACACAGAGTTGGTAGAAAATGTAGTGTCACCCTTGATTCCTGTTACTATTGCATAACAGAGCTTTTTGTCCTCTGTAGCACACTGTGACTCAGCATCCTCATATACATCACAACTATCCATGTATTTGCTTCTCTAGTACTGGACTGATCTGGCAATGGGAAACCTGGGTCACACAGAGAGACAGTACTGCAATAATAAAATGGTAAAATTAGCAAGCACACTAATTTAATTAATACATCAATGGTTTCAAAAAATAAATTCCACAGCCTTTCCTTTTGGAAATACATATTTAAATTGATTTCAAATGGTGTGGTCTCAAGTTCAAGTGCTTGTGGGTCAATGTGGGTCATTTTTATCCAGAAAAACATTTTTTTTCTGACTTTTGACAATTCTATCAGTTGTGGGAGGGAAAGCAAATGTTTAAAGGTACGGATTTGGTTTATCTTAAGATCTATTTATTGGTGGGCCAGTTTAAAATGCACAGGCACAATTCACAAATCATACAAGACAAATCCTTGTAGTAAGATACTTCTGAGGTTGAAAGGGGAAGGAAATGTTAGCTGGTCCTATCTTTTCCCTTTTAGCACTCTGTGTCCCCTAAGAATTTGTGCCAAAGGATTAAGTGGTCTAGTGGTGGTGGGGAGCAAGGGTATAATTGGCAAAAATATTTTTCTCACCTTCTGCCACTAGAGTCCTAGATGGGATCAAAGATGTGTCCACAAATAGAAGATGCTCTTTTATTTGTGGAAGAATAAGCCAGGACCTAAGATAACTTTTTCCCAATGAAATATACTTCAGTGCAAGGAGAAATGTGAATATTACTTGTTGAAAATAACCTCTTACTATAACACATCATTTTTAACTCTGCATGTACCCACAGCAAACACCCCACAAGAGGTTCACTAATGCCCCTTCTATAAAATGTCCCTAAATGAAATGTAATATGTTTAAAAAAGCAAACACTTCTGAACTAAATCAAAATGCTCAAATCCAGAATAAGCTGAGCCCTGAAAAAAATAAAGCAGCAAAAAAATAAAAGGTTTGGACATACAATATCATTGCAATAAATGGGGTACTATACCTGTTAGATTATTTGACTCAGAAAGGTGTTTCATAAACAACTTTGGTTATTGGGTCTTCAAGTTGATCTTGTAATAATTGGAACAGCTTTAATATGCCATGTTTTTTCCTTTGGTTCCTGCAATTTTCTGCACACTAGAGTGGCTCTTAATTCTTTATTTGGTGGCTGACAAATTAGCCAATATACTGTAGCTTCTTCCAAAACCAGCTCCAGACTGCTACTTCTGGCTGGAATATTCCTGTTCTTGGTTCTTTTACAAAACAGAAGAGAGATTTTCACACAGAGGAATTCCTATACAGGTACGTCCTCATTTACCAACCACAACTGGGACCTGCAACTTGGTTGTTAAGCAAAGTGGTCACTAAGTGAAACTGTGACTGTGCTTATGATCTTACTTCAGCTTTCCTTTGCTTTACAGACCTGCAAAGGTCGTAAATGTGAGGATTGGTTTTAACTGGGAATAATTGCTAAATGAGGCAGTCGCTAAATGAGGGCTACATGTACACATGTGGATCCTACACAAGGATTCCTTGTGCCTCCTAAATGGAAAGGACAAACTTTCTCCAGATGACTGAACCATTTGGTCTTAGATCCTTGCAGATGGACAGCTCCCAGCACTACTAATCAAAAGCCATTGTATACCTCCTCCAGTTTGTGTTTGATCTCTAATTGTATATTTTTATAAAATTAACTACCCCAGTTTTAGCTTCTTAGGGATTATTTTGTGGAAAGGTGTGTTGGAAGAATACTTCAGGCTTCATCTGGAATCATCCTGTAACTTATCAAGAGGTTGAAAGGAACTGAAGAGGTTCACAAAGTTGTCCTGTCTTTCTTCCCTCCCCAAGCAGGGTGTGCAGCTTGCTGATAAGAGTGTCAGCTGTATCTCTTCCACCACGGCCCTTTTCTACTCCTCTTGCAATGTAATCAACAACCACAGCTGTAGATGTGACTTCATCGCACAGAATAGGCTGTCCTGAGGCTAGATGGGGCCTGCTTCATTGTTTTGCAGCCCTCTTGGTGGCCAATTCTTCAGATGTATCCGGAAGGTGGTTTGGTAGAGGAGTTTTTAATAGCCTTACCCCCAAAGGGCAGAAAAGCTCTTTGCCAATACTCCACCCCAACGAAAACTGCTTTCATCACACAGCTAGGGGGAGAAATGTGGTTTGTAACTGGAATCACACCTGTTTCCCAATACAAAAGCTTCCACATCTCTTCAGTCTGAAATAGGTTAAAAACAGAATAAGCACAATAATTAAATATAAGGCTATCAATCATATACGAAAAATAGGTTAAAATCCGACTCATCTCTCCCACCTGCTATCCAGCGTGAGATCATTCCTACTTGGTTGAGTGTCAGTGTGCAGGAGGAAAAGAACAGTGCTGCTTTTGCAGGAGAAGTTCAAAGCGTGTGTGTGTGCTTGTGGGTAAGAGGGAAGAGGCTTTGGAGTCTACCTGACTGCAGATGAAGCAAGGACTCAAAAGCAAAGGGACAGGAGTAGTGCAGCTGTGGAGCTGAATTTCATACTAAGTGGCTGCGGGTTTAGCAAATATTTAGTAAATGTACCTGGAAGGTTAAAAATAGAGGAATACCACCCTGTATCCAAGACTGGGAGACTGAAAAGAAATAATGTGGAAGTCTCAAAATAGGAGGGGCAGACAGGATTGAAAGAAAAGATGGTTGAGAGCCCCCTTATCTTATCCTCTATCGGCTGTTTCCTCATGAGGCAGGTTGTTTAATTAAGAATTAGAATTTCAGTCAAAGAGAACAAGGGCAGATGGAGAAGGTGATTTTGGCAGGAATGCAAAGCCCAAAGGCAGGGCTGAGCCAGGGTGTGTTGGAAAGACACGCAAGCACCTTGAGTGCATGTTAAAGATTTACTGTTCAAGGTCAGTAAGACATGGAAGGAGAGAACTTTTGCTTGGTAGGAAGAATAAGAAGACCCACCTCAAGTGCTGCCCAAGGTAATGCTGTTCCCATGATATAAGAAGGGGAGGAACTAAGCTTGTGGAAGAAACAGAGCTTAATTGAAGCCATGGCTCACAAGAACTTGGTTAGCAATTTGTTTTCAAAGCTAAGCGTCAGCTATAGAAAGTCAAAATTTTGAAGAATCTACTTCTGCATGTCTGCATAGTTGGGTTGAATGCTTCCACCTCCCACATCCCATGGTAGACTTTAGCTCTAGGAAATGTCACCAATATTCCAAGTTGGATTGTAGTATGAGGTCCATCGTACCCATAGCGAGAAGAGATCAGACAGTGGCAAGTAGCATACTATATCAATCTTTTTTTTTTTTTTTGGTTTTGTTGCCTGAACTTAGCCATTGTTAAGTGGCTAAGTTTTCACCAAATCTAAGATTTCACCAAATCTAAGACTATGTTTCAGATTTCACCAAATCTAAGACTATGTCTGACAGTTCAGATGGGGACTGCTATGCAGAGAAGGGTTTAGCTGATTAGGTGGGACTATCCAGAAAAAAGACATGGAATTGATATCAATCACAGTGCCTTGCCTCTTAAGCTTGTGGTGATGCATTAAGAACCAAATTAGAAACTGGTAAGAAAGAACAATTCTTCTCAAATTGTCTATCCAGATAGTAGCAATACAAATTAAATCACTATGTCACTTCCTGATCTGCTATGCTGTTTGTTTCATTGACTATGTAGGGGTTGGTAACAAACCCACTTGTCTGGACATAAATTCTGTAAGCAGATGTCAACAATCATCAAGTAACTGATTGGCTGTCTTTCCCCAGGGAATGGGCAGGTAGAACTTTGGAGGTTAGGTTGTACTTAAAAAAATACAATGTAGAATTTCAATGGGCTGAAATGCAACACTTCTCTTGAAACAGGGAAATGAATAGCATGTAGCCAGCAATGTCTATTGTCACTCTTACATCAGGATGTCTCATAGTCCTTTCCTCTTTGGGCTTGAAATAATTATTTTATCTTGAATATGTTTGCCACTATGTTTATGTTATATGTAATTAATTAATTATGTCCCATCAAATTGTTGCGGACTCTTAGCGACCACATTGATTGTTTGTTTGTTTGTTTGTTTATTTATTTATTTAATAAATTTAGATAGATAGATAGATAGATAGATAGATAGATAGATAGATAGATAGATA